CCGTCCTCTTGTACGCAAGTTCGAGTCACTTTCTTATAATTAATCTATATCTTGTATAAGAAAAGAGATACAAGGAAAATGAAAAACAAAACACATGCAAGATGATGACTTTATATTAATTTACATGTAACAATATAGCGTAACCGGAAAAGGGGTGCGTCTTGGCTGTTACCAAATAAATTGAAAGCCACATTGGCCGAGGGAGGACAAAGATTTCAATGGAGTTATTATGTAGAGGGAAGTTTCCTGCAAATTTGGTTCTACATAACTACTGTTGTCCTCGTGGTGGGCATCTCTTTATCTATTGCTTAACTCATACACTGATTTGCCCTCAATTTTCTTTGGGATTTCTTGATTTATTTGTTTTTTTTTAATGACTAACTTCTAAGTTACACAATGCAAACAAAAACCAAAGTCTATAATAGAAGAAAATTATGCAAACCCCCAAGTTTAATGGGATTTGGAAAAAAAAAAAAAAAAACAAGGGTTAAATACTTTTTTGATTATTGGGTTTATATGAAAAATTCAATTTGATCACTAAGAAAAATATTTAGCCAAATTAATCACTGTGTTTCCCAAAGTTTACAATTCATACACATTCTATCACCTTGATTATGTTTCCTTACCATCAGTTTTCACAATAAAGTGTTTACTCAATCGATTTAGGCTTCAATATAGCATCTAATTTGTGACCTTAGAGCATCTCAAACAGACTTTATATTCTCTCATCCCTAGCTACTTTGGCTAAAAAGAAGGAAAATCCTTCTCAAGCAGACTCCCTACTTGGCTCTCTATTTTGGAGAATCAAATTTTGGCTCCTCAGAGAGGAGGATAGAGAATTTGGCTAGGAAGAGAGCGATAGAAACATTGAGGAGGTTGGTTGGGTTGGGTTGAGTTTCTACTTTTTTTTTTTTTTTATAAATATATTTGATTTGCAAGACAAAAAGGGAGAAAGAGAAAATAATAATAAAATATTTCAGATTAGCCAAAATAAAGAACATTGCTGAAGGAAACACTTTTAAGTGGTTTGCTATAATAGCTTTCTAGCTATTTTAGCTAGAATTTGACTAAAATTTGGAGACTCTTCTGGAGATGCTCTTATACCTGATAATTTCGATTTCAACCCAACATTTTCCCCAATTTATTAAACCCTAATAGCACAATATGCCATAACTCATGGAGTTAGAAGAAGAAGACTGAGCATGCTTCCTAAATTTTTTAAAAAAAACAAAAAAAAAACTACACTTCACTGAAATTAACAGAATGCCTATAAATTGTAAAATTTGGAAAACAAAATGACCAATTTGGCTACATTTTTTTCTCAGTGACCAAATTGAATTTTTATGTAAAACCCAATAACCAAAAAAGTATTTAACCCAAAAAAAGAAATTTATGCACTTTGTAGCTAGCTTGATTACACACGTGAGTGTAAGTGGGTTTTGTATTATTAACTCGACTAAACTTAGGCATCACTTTGTGGTCGTCCTTTTCTTCTTCATTATTGCAGGTTTTACAAGTTCTATCTCCTCAAACTGAAATTAAGCATGACCGAGTCTAAGAGCACCAAAATTTCGTTGTCAACAAAAGTCTTTGGGCCCCTCTTCTCTCTTTAATTGCAATTGTGTGGTGAGCAATTACAGGTTCTCCCTTTTTTTTTTAAGACTTAACTTCTAATTTGGGCCCCTCTTCTCTCTTTAATTGCTCACCACACAATTGCATAGCAAACGATTCATAACTATTGGCCACTCACTACTGTAATACGTTAACATGACATCACTCACTCTTTTATGCCCAACGTAATAATGTGGTTCCTGCGTGAATTAGTGTAATTTTTAGGTCAACCAAAGTATTTTCGATAAAGTTATTGTAAAAATCATGATCATAACTAAATGGTTACCTATTCCTCACGCATTCTGATCTTTTAATTTTTTTTTACCCATTTCTTGAGTAAAGTCTCTCAACAATATTTGAAAATGAATTGGTTATCCATAATGATTAAGATTCACTTTTAGTTTCGCTTCTTGTTTTAATAGAAAGACTTGTCGAAAATCTGGTTGGTCCAACCAAGTAAGGCATGGGAGTCTTTGGGCATCTCACATGAATTTTCGATCTTGTACCCACGACACTGAACATCCCATCCAATCGTTGATTACCAACTTAGCTGATTTTTCAAATAGATAATTTCAAACGTAGAATTAAAAAAAGAATGTTTTGATTTTTTTTTCTTTATACAAGCAATATTAGAAAACTCTTTAGATTATAAAACCACATAAGTAGTCCAAGAGTAATAATTTGTATCAGTTAATTTTAGTGTGCCTATGAATTTGAACTTTTTGGGGTTTTTAAAAAAAATATAAATTTTGAACTTTTTGGCTTTGGGAAACATAAAATTCTGTTTTTCAGTTAGTAGAAGACCCATATATCTTTCACTTCACTTCCACTGCGCCACTTCCTTCCTGGCCTTCCTGAACCAAAATCCCACTCAAATATCTCTCCTCCTCCATAAACAACAAAACAATGGCTTTGCCAGCGCTGCCCAAAGTAGAACTTCGAGAACTGGGCAACACAGGCCTCAAGCTCAGCTGCGTCGGCTTCGGCGCCTCGCCTCTGGGCAACGTCTTCGGTCCCGTCTCTGATGACGAAGCCATCGGCTCCGTTCGCGAAGCCTTTCGTCGTGGCATCAACTTCTTCGACACCTCTCCGTATGTAATTTCTTTTTTATTCGCGCAATTTCTCAATTTTTGTGCGCAATGCTTGTTCTGTTTGGTTGCTGAGAAATTGTGAATAATTACGAAATTTTCGTGAAATTGAACTTATTTTCACCTGATTCGATATAAGAGCACACTAAAACTTATAATGCAGCCAGAAAGTCTGAAACTTTGTAGAGAATTTTCGAGAATTTCTCTTAGCATGTGATTTTGATCTGTGTGGCTCTGTTTGGTTTTAGAGAAAAATGTGGCAATATAAGATAATGAAGAGTTGGGGTTTTTCATTTATGAGATTGCAGATCAAAAAGAATTTTTGATACTTTAGAGTTACCAATTATTTGTGACCCAGAAAACCCATTTGGTTGTATTTGTTCTGACCTTGTAAATGAAATTCCTTCACTAATCTATGACATAAATCACAGAACTTTTTGTATTGAAGTCACCTTCTTTCCATCTTATTTCTGCTGTTTTTTTGGGTGTCATACTTAAGTGTTCAGTTTCCCTTTCTGCTTCCCAATTGTTAGGTACTATGGCGGGACTTTGTCAGAGAAGGTGCTTGGTAAAACACTAAAAGCTCTAGGCGTCCCAAGGAGTGAGTACATTGTGGCAACCAAGTGTGGGCGCTATGCTGACGGTTTTGATTTCAGTGCGGATAGAGTAACTAAGAGCATTGATGAGAGCTTGGAAAGGTTGCAGCTGGATTACGTTGATATACTGCAATGCCATGACATTGAATTTGGGTCTCTAGATCAGGTTCTTTGGCATTTCTTGTTTTAGGGGTAATGGTCAAGTTTTGTTCTCATTTGTTATAGCCTAATGACCAAGTTGTGTTCTCCTGTTTGGTTTTGTTAACAGATTATCAATGAAACCATCCCTGCCCTAAAGAAACTCAAGGAAGCAGGGAAGATTCGTTTCATTGGAATTACAGGACTTCCATTGGGAATTTTCACATACGTTCTCGATCGGGTACCACCTGGCACAGTGGACGTGGTTCTGTCATATTGCCACTACGGTATTAATGATTCAGCTTTGGAGGATTTATTACCATACCTAAAGAGCAAAGGTGTTGGTGTCATTAGTGCTTCTCCACTTGCTATGGGCCTTCTAACCGAGGGTGGTCCTCCAGAATGGCACCCAGCATCTGCTGAATTGAAGGTAGACGTTCTGTATACATCAGTTCCAGCTGGCATTTTACTTCAGACCTTAGTGAATCCTCTTCTTTATCACCATATCACATGCAATCCCGTTATTGAAAACTCAAAACTGATTAATGTGTTTTATATTTTTGACAGTCTGCGTGCCGTGCTGCTGCTGTCTATTGTAAAGAGAGAGGGAAGAACATTTCAAAGTTAGCTATGCAATACAGTTTGTCCAACAAGGATATCTCTTCAGTGCTTGTTGGCATGAACTCCATTAAACAGGTTCTGATCCATCATTTACCTCTAACTTGTACGTTCTATCAGGATTGTACAGTGGGTGCTATACCACCCTGCTCTATGGCTTTATAGTAGCATGAATGAATGATCATGTCGAGGAAATGAATTACCTATTCACTCATGTCACATTGACATCCCATAGAAAATCCTTTCCTTTCATTATTTCATAAATTTTTTAAATTATGAAGATCATTCTTTGGTCTCTGTTTTGTATTATCCTTTTCCTAATCAGGTTGAGGAAAATGTTGCTGCTGCTGTGGAGCTTGAAACTGTTGGGAAGGATGAAAAAACTCTAGCAGAGGTTGAAGCTATTCTGAAACCTGTGAAGAACCAGACATGGTCTAGTGGAATCCAGCAGAGCTGACAATTTTGCTGTTGTATGTAATCATCTGTATCTTGTACGCATTTTTATTTATGTTCGTTGCCTTCATTGGCCTGCTGTTTAGATATTAATTCTTCAGGAGGCCTTATTCTATTGTAATGGATATTAATTCTTCAGGAGGCCATATTCTATTGTAATGGAACTCTCTTTACATGAGAGAGGTTATGCTTATATTAATGGAGATGAATCAATAAAATGTGTATTGCTCACAAGCATTGTACTCCTAGCCATTGCAAGGAGGCATTCTAGCATTTTCTATTTTCCAATCAGAAGGCAGGTGCTCCACTGGTTGTGTTATTTTCAACTTCTCAGTCGCATAAGCTAAACTGATTTAATCATAATTTGTCAACTTTACGGATCTTTGTCAACTTTAATTATTTAAGGTTCAGAAAGAAAATAATAAAACATTGCTAAGTTGTATTCAAGAATCAAGATACAAAGAAGCAAAACTTATATCCATTAATCTGTGTGAAATGGTCATAAAAGAGAAACACCCATGCAAAAGGAAGAACAATCGATCTATATGTTACTCCCTAAGTTCATTTACATGGCTGTTTTCTCAGATGAAAAAATATCTGTAACCGTACTTAAATCCATAATGTTAGCCTCCCACTCCCATTGACTTCGGCAATAATCGATGTCAAGAAGTTACATTTCCGCTGTCCTTGATGTCAAAACTGTATGTGAACATCCAGTCTCATCCACTGGAGCTAGAAATGAGGTCAAGGAATCTGTCTTCACTGCAAGGGATTGTGATACCACCCATGGGATGATTATATCCAAATTCTTCTTCAGCCTGGCTTAGCAAGTATTTGAACGAAGGCTGGTTCAAGCATGATATTGGAATCACAAACCGCTTCTTTTGGCTTTCCCCAATATAGACTGCAAAATAGCCCTTCGGAGCAGCTTGGTTCGAGGGGAAGTGTCGAAGATTTTGCTTAGCATGAATAATACTGGGCAAACGAAAACCCATGTTTTTTAAATGTGTTTAGATGAAGAACAAGCAAAAGATTTCAAAGAAATTGACAATGGAAATTTGTAAATGGTCGAGAATGTGAGATTGATTGTGAAACCAATTTAGTTTATATAGATGAAAGGGTATGAGTTAAATCCTATATTAATTAAGTCAGTTGAAACCCTCATGAGAATTCACATGGATTGGTCTGCCCAATATTGTCATGAGGATTTCATGTGAAATTGGTAAATCTGTAACCTTCTAGACAAACATCTTGCCCTACCTCATATATTTAAATACAACCAAAGCACCCAATAAAAGATACAGATTCAAACACAATGAAAGCTCTCATAAAATATAGAGCTAAACCTCCAAGATTAGAGACATGCTTGAGACATTTAGCTATTGATAAGACAACTAATACCAGAAGCATTAAATGGGAGATGATATTGGTGCAAGCAAAATGGTGGGGCAATAGTGAAATATGGAAAGCTGAGGATAGTGAGACATGTTAACAGGCGGCAGAAGTCCAAAGTCATGGAATTACAAATAAGAATACAGAAAAAAACTGTCTTCAGTTCCAAATCCATCTACTTGCAAATACAAGCTTCTTTAAGATCACATCCCATCACTTCACAAATCAACTTGAACAACCAAAACAGGCTAGATACTTGTAATTCCTGTGTGTTCCAGACAATTATAACATTGCACCCTTTCTTTCCCCCTAAGCAATCAAGGGTCACAATCCCTTCTTATCGCGGTAGGAAGTCCGGTAAATTAACCCCAGGGTTAAATGTTAAAATAGTAACACATCGCCTGGTTGCCTGTGCAATGTGAAGTATATATATAAGCATATGCCATTCTCTCCTTGTTAGCCGGCTTTGCAAGGATATGTTCTGCTCATGAGTTTAACACCTAAATCCACTGGGGGGAAACAAACGGTAACTTTAGGTTAGACTTGTTTTATGACATATTTGGTGAGGAATCACATGGCTTTGTCTCCAAACTAACTTGACAGATTTCACGCTGCTTCACAATTTATACCATGGCCTACCATCAATAGACAGATTATGGTTGCAGAATTGACGCTATTACTTATGTAACCTAGAGCACACAGGAACTAGAGACTATTACGTAGCAATTAGTTGGATCAAATTCAAGAAACAGAAGTTCCCCATTCGAAAACGATTTGTTGACCTTGTCGATCTACCAGGAAGGAACAAGGTTATCACCCCATGTGAGGTGTATTGTGACGAAAACATGACAGGAGTTGGTGGTGATATAACCTTGGGCCTAAAATTAAATGGATGGTAAGGTTGATGGGAAGCACAGAACCAACCTAGCTGATATAATATCATTTTGTGATATTAAACATTGAAAGATACAGGCTTTTATTTTTTTTATTTTTTTTCTCTCTCTATTCATTTGAACCAGTTTGATATTTCCAACTGATTGGCCATGCATGGAAGATGAAACTTATCCATCAAGAGCAAGTACTAAGGCATTTGAATTTGACACGGAAAGGTAAGGGGTCGGGTAGGGCTTGATTTTGCAAGTTGCTACCTTGATACATGGAATTGACCAATCAATATTTGAAAGTTAGTCAGAGGACAGAAGCATGTGACCTCCAGTTAGGTTCCTCTTAACTATTCCATTCATAATTCCATCCCTATATATGCAGCAACGTAGCTATACAAATCTATCACCCCAAGTCCTCACATCCTCTATTGTCACAGCTTTTTCTCATCCAAATATCTCTTTAACTCTCAAGCATAACAATCCACAGAAACCATGGGTTTTAGCTTGATATCGATCATCCGACGATCTCTCGTGATGTCTAAACAATCGAGTATGGCTACAACGAATGTCCCCAAGGGCCACTTTGCTGTTTATGTAGGAGAGGAGCAGAAAAAGAGGCTTGTGGTACCAATATCATACTTGAACCACCAGTGGTTCAAAGACTTGCTAAGTTGCAGTGAAGAAAAGTTTGGGTTCACTCATCCAATGGGTGGCATCACAATTCCATGCACTGAAGAGGCCTTCATTGGTCTCAGTTCTTGTTTGCATTCCTTCTAATCTTATGTCCAACATGACTAAAACCAAACTCTTCAATTTTGTGCTGTGAAGAGTTCAATTTGTAAATGTCCCCTTTATATTCTGATACAGAGAAAATTATTCAAGACCACTTCTTATATTAGTTCTGTTTCTTAAGTTTCTTGCTCATGATTTTAACATAGACTGCAAAGCCGTCGATGTGGGATACTTCTCTCCCTACCCCAAACGAAAGAGAATAAATCTGAGCTAATGTAGTCTAATACAGAGCTTCAGGGCTCTTCTTCATATGCTGCAGAGACATCTAAAAACAATCTGTATTAGACTACAAATATCTAGCTCCCACCATTCATCAATAAATCAATTCTAGGAAATATACTTAATTAAATATAATGTAAATGTAAAATTAAATCCCGGATTACTTCGAAAAGAAAAATGCACCTTGGTTAATGCCGAGAAGTATCAAATGCTTCAGCCTGACTTAGCTTAGCTATCCTATTTTTCCAACATGGGACATTTGGGATGTCACAGCTCTCTATCCAAGTTCATATTCATAGTTAGCACATAATCGACATATGTAAAGAGGAATGATTTAAACATCTTTTGTCTCTCATTTAATTAGTTGATGTTTAGCAAAAAATAAATAAGAGACTGCTAATTTGTATGCCTTTGTGGGAAATGTGGAGGTATAGAGCAACATGACACCACACCACAGTTTAATTGTATCAGCACAAGGATGATCTTGCATAGATGTAGTCAACAATCAAAATATTGATGCTAGTATTACTGGGTTCTGTTTCTTGGTTTCCAATGCGTAACTCTATAAATTAGCAACGTTGTATTCATTGATTTTGGTGAATAATGGAATAGGAAGAAAAATCAATCAATTTGACAAAGATGAAGATATGTTACTCCCAAATTATTTTTTATAGGACAATGCAATGTGGACTAGAAAAACCAAAAATGTACTAGCAATCTTCTGAATATCTGTTACGCTAAGTGTACTCAAATCCATATTATTAGCCTCTGACTCTCATCCTCCTCGGCAAGAATCCTTGTCAAAACTGTATGTTAACATGCACTCTCATATGGATGAGTTAGAAATGAGATCAAGGAGTCTGTATCATATCCAAATTCTTCCTCAGCCTGGCTTAGCAATTCTGTGAATGAAGGCTGGTTCAAACATGATATTGGAATCACAAACTGGTTCTTTTGGCTTTCCCCAACGTAGACTGCAAAATAGCCCTTTGGGACATCTGTAGGCGGCTTGGTTTGAGGGAGACTGTCGAAGATTTTGCTTTGCATGAATAATACCAGAATTTTTTTTTTTTTGTCTAGAGGAGTAACAAGCAAAAGATTTAAAGAAGTTTGCAGAACAGTTGAAGTTGTAAATGGCCAAGAATGTGAGACTTATGCTGCTTGTAAAACAGAATGAGCATATTGATGAAAAGAGTATGAGTTAAAATCTTCTATTAATTAAGTCAATAGAGACATAAGCTTATGAAAATTCACATGGATTGGTCTGTCCACTAATGTCATGAGGGCTTCATGTGATATTTGGCCAAACTGTAACCCTCCTGGGAAACATATTGCCCTACCTCATTTAGATAAAAGCAAAGTACCCAATAAAATTACAGATTCAGATAAAAGAGCAGCCCTTATAAAATATATGCCTAAACCTCAGATTAGAGACATGCTTGAGACATTTAGCTACTGATAAGACAACTAACTGGGGGATGATATTGCTGCAAGCAAATGATGGCATTGCCTATAAGAATGCAGAAGAAGACTGTCTTTAGTCCTAAATTCATCAACTTGCAATACAGGCTTCTTGAAGTTCACAAGAACCATGCCCTACAACTCATCCCATCACTGCACACGCCAACTTGAACGATGACAACATGCTAAATGCTTGTAATTCTTCTGTGTTTTGTATTTACACTACAATACTTGTCACATGTGTTCCAGAAAATTATAGGACCGCACCCTTATTTTTCAGTTTGAATGTGGTGCAAAGGCCGGTAAATTAGCACCAGGGGACGCAAACAGAAACTTTAGTCCACAATATATAGTTCAGATTTTTTTTAGGACATATTTCATGAGGATTCACATGGTTTTGTCTCCCAACTAATTGATAAGACTTAACAGATTCCATACTGATTGAATTTATTTGCTATGTACCATCATATGCCGACTACTACAACATATGACCTGGAGTCTCCTATAAAATATAAAATAAAATAAAAAACCTGGAAAACACAGGCACTAGAGATTACTATGTAGCAACTAGTAGGGATATTATTATTTCAGAAAACAGAAGTTCTCCATTTGAAACCGGGTTGTTGAATTTATTGATCAACAAGGTTATCACCCCAGGAGCTGGTGGTGATATAAACTTGGGCCTAAGTTTAAGTGGATGGTACAGGTTGATGGGAAGCAGAGAACCAACATGGCTGACAATATCTCTCTATGATCTAAAGCATTGAAAGATACATGTATTTTTTTTTCCCTCTATATTTGGTCAAGTTTGATATTTAAATATTGGCCATACATGGAAGATCAAACTTATCCATAAAGAGCAGGTACATTAGTCTGAAGGCATCTGAATTTGACATGGAAAGGTAAGGAGTAGGGTATGGTAGGGCATGATTTTGCAAGTTGCTACAGGTACATGAAAATTGACCGATCAACTTTTGAAAATTAATCAGAGGACAGAAGCATGTGACTTTCAGTTAGGTTCCTCTTAACTATTCAATCCATAATTCCATCTCTATATAAGCACAGCAACATAGCCATACAAATCATCACCCCAAGTCATCACATCATCTATTGTCACAGCTTTCCCTCATCCAAAGATCTCTTAACTCTTAATCATAACAATCCTCAGAAACCATGGGTATGAGCTTGCTATCGATCATCCGACAATCTGTCTTGATGTCTAAGCAATCGAGTATGGCTATGACGAATGTCCCGAAGGGCCACTTTGCTGTTTATATAGGAGAAGAGCAGAAAAAGAGACTTGTTGTACCAATATCATACTTGAACCACCAGTGGTTCAAAGACTTGCTAAGTTGCAGTGAAGAGAAGTTTGGGTACACTCATCCAATGGGTGGCATCACCATTCCATGCACTGAAGAGGCTTTCATTGGTCTCAGTTCTTGTTTACATTCCTTCTAATGTTATGGCCAACATGACTGAACCAAACTCTTCAATTTTGTGCCCTGAAGAGTTGAAATCATTTGTAAATGTCCTCTTTGTATTCTGATATTGAGAAATTAATTCAAAACCAATTCTTAGTTCTCTTTCACAAGTTTCTTGCTCATGCTTTTAAAATTATTTGCTTCATCACAAAAATCTTTCCAAATGCAGCAAAGCCTACAATGTTGGATACTTACCCCAACAAAATAGAGGAGAAAATGTTGAACTAGTATATTAATAAATTTCCAGTAATTTTCAGGGTTCTTCTTCTTCACATGCTCTCAAGAGACAGCTAAATAACAATCTGTAATAGAATACAATTATATCTAGTCCCCACCATCCATCAATAAAACAAGTCCAGATAATATACTTTACTATGTGTGGTGGAAATGTAAAACTTGCATTTTGCTTAACCAGATAAGAGAACTTTCTTGTATTGCTTATCTACAGAATGGAGAAAAGCATATTGGTTTACACCAAAAAAGTGCAAAATGCTTCAGCCTTGTATTCTACAATTCTCTAATGTGGAATATTCCCAGAAGAATTTGGAATATATTTATCATGATCCAACAAATTTAATACAATTACCTCCTCACTAATAGAATCTTATGCAGGTGTGAGATTATGGGTCTATATTGGACCAAAAAATATGACTTAAAAAACAAATCAATAGATAATATATAATATAGTCAACAGAAACACAAGCAATTGTTTATAAGAAAAAAGAAAATTACATCATCAATGAAAAATAATTGTTCTTAGAAAAGCTTCTTGAAAAGTTGAAACCAAAAGTATAGGATGAGATGATTGATTCAACTCTAGTCTTTGCCTAGTCAATAGAGTGTCCATGTGAACGAGTCAAGAGAGGGCCCAGTAATGGTTTAGATAATCTAAAGGGAATGTCTAAGCACAAAGCAGAAAACCACGTATTGGTTTACTTGTGGGAACTAATCACCACAAAAGGCTTATTGGTTGGCTGTCATTATAAAAGCTATCTCAATTGCTCAAGTCCAAGTTCAGTGCTTCATAATATGCACAATGACTCAGAGCCTCAGAAGATCTTCTTTAATTGATCCTGGCCTCTGATGTCAAGAACATGGCTAGCAAAAAAAAGGTCACTCTACTTTATTAGTTGAAACATTACTCAGATAACTCTATGTATTTTTTAAGTTGCACCACTCTTTTATTCGCTCCCAAAGTTTGTAGGGTAGGGTGTCTTGGATAATTAAGGCAATGTCCATGTGAACCTTCCACAAGTCCTTCACCTGATATGTTTCTCAACATTCTTATTAAGGCTCTTACAAATTTATCCATTCCCTCCCCCCCTATATATTTTAGGTAATGACATGCTCATTCAACCCAAAATCTGCAGCTCTCACTTAACCACTAAAACAACTTTTCTATTTCAACCTTTGAGGTGCATTTCTTTATTTGTTGATTCTGAGTATGGGGATCAAATTGATGGGCATAGCACATGCCAAGGAGAAGCTCCAGCGAACTCTTTCAGCAAGATATGGATCAGCTGCAGACACTAATGCTGAGGTTCCGAAAGGCCATTTTGCTGTTTATGTTGGAGAAGGCAAGAAGAAGAGATTTGTGATTCCAATATCATATTTGAACCATCCTTTGTTCCAAGACTTGTTAACCAAGGCTGAAGAAGAATTTGGATATGATCATCCTACAGGGGGTCTCACAATTCCATGCAGTGAAGACTACTTCCTTAGTGTAACTTCAGTTCTAAATTGTTCATATAGATGATAATGTTTCTGTATATGGCCTCCAATTATAGGTCAATTATTTAACCAATTCATTCCTCCTTTCAATTAATTTTCCTTTCATCCTACAACTGAAAGAAACAGAACTTGAGATCATAAGGGATCAGCCTCTTCTTTTATTTTGTAGTTTTTTTTGGATCAAAAGTGATCAGTCTCTTCAGTTTTGTATTAATTGTAAGTTCTGGGAAATACCATCCCTGGGAATGCCTTATATGTTATGTAATTCGGCCTATTCTGAACTAACAATGTGTAGGAACCACAAAAGATAATAAGAAACTTGGAATGCAAAAACAGAATGTGGATATGATATTTGCCAAAAATTTTGATTGCACAACAAGAAACAGAAAGGGGGGAATAAAAAAAAAACCCCCGAAAAGTTCTAACAATTTTTAATCACGGAGGAAATTATTCACTTCAACATCAGAGAATTATGCATTCATCATCTTCAACTTCGCCATTTGGTATTAATGGGTACACTTACGATTATAACTCTGATTAGGAAAGACGTAATTAGCATTTAAGGCAGTACAATTGAGAAAAATTGCAAGAGAGATTAAAGGCTTGTTTGGTAAGTATCAAATTGTAGCAGATTCAACTGTATATTGTAACGCGACTAACTAGGTATTAGTTTAGTGGTACTTCTTGTCATTTGGTGAAGAGGTGCTCCCAAGTTCTAGCTCACATAATTAGAGATTAAAAAATCTTTACTGTGATGCGCAAACTAATGGTATGCAGGCTTACTGATGAGGTTGATAATTTGATATGAAGTGAAAGATTGAGAATTAACTCAAATCCTCATTAGATGGCAGATATTCCTTTGTGGCCATATCTAGCAAAAAAGTTTGTATAAAACGGAGATAGCACTGTTTTGTCATCCTTAACCAATCACAAATTGCCATGTGGAAAAATTATCACACGTGACATACCATGATTAATCGAGGATAGTGTTTCTCCATATCTAGGGGCTACTTTATCTTGACGAAGAGAGCTAAATTTTATTTTTCTGGTCTGACAACAGTATTATCTAAAAATGTTCCTCTGTGTCCAGTAGTAGTGGTTTGCTCAGAGTCAGAGATATATCTGCAGTGGTAGCTGCGGCTCCTGCCATATTATCATGAAAATGATTTCTTGTGCCCCCATGCTCTGCATATTATTTGAGTATTAACCGACTCATTAAGAAAGGTCAGGCCAGGATCATCAGATGAATTTTGAACCAATGGATGGAGGGGCATATGCCCCCCAACTTCCCAAAACATTATAGAAAGAAACGAGGCATACACTTGCAGTACTTAATGATGGGAGAAAAAAACAAATCAGCCATTTATGGTACCCGTGAGACGTGACGATTCAGTCTCAAGTAATTTGTGTAAAGATTTTGTTAAGATGAGTCGGCGAGATACAAGGACTACTAATGAGATGCATACCTCACATATATTAGTGATCAGAAACGACCTGCATATCAACAACTGACGGTAGCACAACTTATTTGCGCAATGATTAATTTCTAATTCAGAGCCAGTGGACTCCATAACTGACTGACTCATCATCATCTTCTTCTTCTATTAGCTTTTATTGGTTTGGCTACTAATTTCACACTCAAGAGTCTCTCAGTCTCACTCCCACATGCATTATTGTTGACTCTTACATCATCAACTTTTTAATTTCCGTTGGTTTGAGGTAAGGCCATGTGCTATATGGAAGAGAAATAAAGTACACTCATCACATTGGAGTGAGCAACAGAAACCCAACTTGACCAAGTTTGAAACTGAACCAACCCTACTAATAAAAAAAACCAATAATGATGAAATTCCAAACTGTCCCACAAGCCTACAAAGCAAACCTGCAACAAAGACATGCCTGAAAACTTGTTCCTATATATACCTTAAAAAAGGCAAAATGCTTGGAGAACCCATCAAGCAAGCTATAGCATCCATAGCCATAACCCTTAAATTACTTATTTCTCCTTGTGTCTTTGTGGTTAGAGCAGAAGGCAAGCATGGGCTTTCGTCTGAAAGAGATGGTTTTTCATGCCAAGCATCATTTGAGGTCCACAAGAACTCCTTGTCCTGTTGATGTTCCCAGAGGCCATTTTGCAATCTATGTAGGGGATGATGCAGAAGAAAAGAATCATGAGAAACGGCATGTCGTGCCCATATCATATTTGAAGCACCCTTTGTTCCAAGACTTGCTCTACAAGGCAGCTGACGAGTTTGGTTTTGATCAATTGGGCGGCATTAGACTTCCATGCTCAGAAGAGGAGTTTACTAGTCTCACTTCTCGAATAAATTAGCAGCTAGAGAGCTAATTAACGAAGCTCAAATTCCAACCCAATTCTCTATTCTTCTGAGTTGTATAAATCAGTGTCAAGGATTCAAGGCTGCCACTGAGACTTAGTGTTAAACTTCTTTCATGGCAAATTTCGTGTATATAGAGACAATTTTGGCAGACAAAATAAGAATGCATGTAACCTTCTTTGTCATCAAATGTACCAAGACTGGAATTAAAATTCAGTATCTCGAACGTTTATTGATGTTTTAAGTGGGGACATATGATTGGCCATTTTTTCGGGTAAGTTGTTGATTGGAGAAATTTTTGTTTGTCACAGTAATATTGTCATTTCGTGTTATAATATGAGTAAATTAATAACACTATATGATGCACAAAAAACGTCTGAATGAAGATTCATGTTAATCGAACATCACATGTTAATCGCCAACTGATAACACTGAGTGACGATTACGTGAAAAAAAATCCTCAACCAAAATTCATGTTAACTAGACATCACATATTAACCGTTAACTGATTAGACCATGTGAGTGTGACGATGTTACGCAAAAAATTCGTCAAGCTTGTGCCAAAAGAAGGCTCCTCAATCGAGATCGATGTTAACGACATGTTAACCATTATATCAATAGATTGAATACAAAAACACTGTACACACACTGTTACACACGTGAAGCCAATGTATGGAGACATGTCAAGCGGTAGTAGCTGAGACCATATGCACGCGGAGGAGGGGGTTATTGTCTAATTTTTATTTCAGATGAGAGAGCAGAGCATTGCGCATGTGAGAAATGCCAAAATGAAATAGTAATATTTTAGCCACCCAATCAACGGGTTAGATAAGGTTTGGGTGGGCTTAGATAATATTGTACTTCAATTCAAACAACTTGGCCTGCACTGCATTTATATGTCAGAAAAGGAAAATACATAAAAAGGAAAAATATTGATTGGATGTTTATATATATTTTTTGGAGTTGATTTTTTAATTATTCTTTAAGAAAGTGTAAGTGAACGAAAGGGAGGTTAGAAAATCAGCGCTCATATTTTTTAATACAAGCAATAATCTAAACTAGGGGGAGGGGTAGGGGGATTTCTCATACACGCAACTATAATGTTGTGGGAATTTGAACCTGATACATCTTATTTGTGAATTAAGGCTATTTTTTACTGCATTAGACCCGTTAACTTTTATATATTTATTTTGATATATATGGATAAGTACGGAGAATTTGTGAGCATTGAATAATAAAAATTATTATATATTTATTTTGATATATATATATATATATATATGGATAAGTATGGTGACTTTGTGAGCATTGGAATAATTATATATATATATGGGGGACCTTGTTAGATCACTGTGGGGGTAGGTTTCAGTCAAAAAACCTATCCATTTTCGTCTAATTATTTTAAGCCGCAATTCTATGCTTCACAAAACTAATCACATGGAAGTTGTTAAGTGGCTTCCATGGTTTCTGGTGTAGCTAGGGCCTCCGGATTTTGATATGCTTTGAAGTTTGGTGACATATGGGCCCATGGTGGCTCTTTGGCACTGGCAGCAGCCATGAGTCTTTTTTCACGGCCATTTGCATAAAATATTGTTCAGAAGAACAAGTGGGACATTTGCATATTTAAGTCGGTTGATAATAAGCTATGATGATGAAAATTTTGCTGCCTGCCCTGCCACACAGCCTCACTGTGACCTCATTATCCAACTCTACAGAAATTTAGGAACCTCAATAAATAGAGGTACAAAATCAATTTGGGCTTCAAACAATTCCTCGCTTTTACATCAAGCAAATTCAGCAAAAACCCTCTCTCTCTCTCTCTCTCTCTCTCTCTCTCAACTATATTTTGCAAAGTTTTAGTGATCATTTTATGGGTATGATGATTCGTTTACCTTCTATGGTACATGGAGTGAAGCACATTCTGAAGCTGCAGCCTAAATCTCATCATGATGAGGTTCCAAAAGGGCATGTTGCAGTTTATGTAGGAGAAATGGGAAAGAAGAGGTATGTGGTTCCAGTTTCTTACTTGAACCACCCTTCTTTCAAAGTGTTGCTTAAGAGAGCAGAGGAAGAGTTTGGCTTCAACCATCCAATGGGTGGTCTTACAATTCCATGCAAAGAAGAGACCTTCATTAGCCTCACTTCTCAGATGGGTGCCAGACAAAGACGATGATGATTGGACCATAGAACAATCTTCCACAATTTTGATTTCTTTTTTCTTTTTTCTTTTTGGGTTTTGTTTTCGCAGGCTTAGGAATGATGGGAAACCAAACCCATATGAGATTTTGTACATGTAAATGAGTAGGGCACTAGGTAGGGAAATTTAGGTCAAATTGCAATGTGATGTGGTGACTTTGGTCCTTAATTCTGTAGCACAATTTTGAAGAAGGTTCTTGGCTCTCCTAACATATTTTGCAAGAGATCAATATCAGTATAACCTTCCATCAATTGTTGAAGTGTTGCACCAGCAGCTCACATATTGCATTACCACAATTGCATCACATTGTTTGGTTTCGTTTTTTTCAGTGCATGCAGGTTGGCTTTGGTTTTATGACGCAGCAGCCTCGGGTTTTCATTAATTTGATGACGGCTTGAACAGGTTTTCAGTAAGTAGAAAGTTTCTTCAGTTTTATTAGCAAAGCCATGGGTTTTTTAAAGGTCTGCTGGAGAGAAACTATATTTTAAATCGAACCCAATTTCAACATAATGAACTTCAACTAAACTTGGTCAAACACTCCGTCCTCAACTTAACTGATACTCTCTTCAACTTAACCACCTTCTAGTCCAGTAGGTGTGAAACACCGATGCTATTCCCAACTTATCCACCTTCTAGTCTAGTAAGTGAGGAATGTTATCACAAAAGGCCTCAACGCCTTTAGTAAGTCCGAAACTTATATATTTGCATTTTATTTTGTCAAGTTTCCGATATTGAAATTTTACATTCTTCAACAGCTAGTCTTCCTCATCAATTTATTACCAAATAATTCGAGATAGTGCAAATGAAGGTGTTTTACCTCAGCTATATATCAACGCAGTAATTGACATTGTCATAAGCATACATTTCAACTCCCATGATGGTATCGAAAGCAAAGACCATAACTCTATACTGAAAATGGAGGTTTATTTTTTACATCAAACTTTATATTTAACGTGGTCATAAGACATAATCATACATTTTTCAACTCCCATGATGCTATTAAACGGTCATCACCCAGCTGCAACTGCAAGGTACCTACAAAGAGACAGGAAGGGTGGGGTTTGCTGTAACAAACCATTCAGAATTGAAAATCATGAATCTCTCCTCTTTGCAATCCAAGGAGCTTCTTTCACTCTATTAATCCCCGGCTGTCGCTACTTTTATACTAACTCTCGATACTCTTCTACAAACTCTATGCAAGGAAGAAACTTTCAACTTCTGGTATCCCATATTCGGAGCAATTTTTGAGAATGGGGTAGCGAGTTAGGCTTGGGGTAGGTATAGGCATGTAAGACCACTGATATAAAAAGTGTAAAGAGCATCAGCCGAAGTTAGGAAAACTGGATTAGATGCTTCTAAACTGTCTACTGGGCAGCATCCATATATTATGTCCCCTTACTCCAAGGACAGATTGCCAGTTCGAATGTTGCGCTGCTGATGTGTGATTCCTTTCCCTAATTGTAACTGGGATGAGCCGAATTCTCCTGGTTTTCCAGTGAAAGAAGCAAGCTTTGGCTGAAGCCATCTTTTCATGGCCAACCCACTGATTTTTATTTTTCCACGTGATTCATTTCCTTGGTAAGGTATCCCAAGCCTTCTCAATAATGCTGCAACTGACTGGCCAACCCTGTTAAACAAAAGATGTCACATTTGCATCAACGAAATAAAGAATATACACTTATATAAAATTCCATGAATTCTGGGGCCGAATTCTGATGAAGTGGAAGTGATTTTAAAACATATTTCATCCCAGAAACCTTGCCCGCAGTTGATCATTCATATCCCTAACTGTGATTGTTAAGTAACAATTTTCACCTTCCTGCAATGTTGATTGTCTTCCCTTTCGGAGACATAATTTGTGTCTTCTCTACGGGCAGTAAAATGCTCATGTTGGGTAACTTTGCACCTGCAAGATATGCAACAACAAAGGAGTAAGATTTAGGCTCTATACAACGGAAAGCTAACCTTTTTTTTTTCTGCACTAAACTCACTCAAAGCTAAACTTTTTTTTTTTTTTTTTCAAAGAATTGAATAAACAGAAAAGAGATGTAGTTTATAGTACCAGCAGCAAGCCGATGTTTGAGACCTTTTAGCACAGTCAAGATGAAGACCTGGCAAATTTCACACAGGAGTTGAGTAGTAATTTTTGTGAGTAGCACGTGCTATCTAATTTATTATTCTCTTGTTTTGTTTGCGTTTTGGGGTGGGGTGGTGGGGGGAGGGGAAGAGGGATAGGGGGAAATAGATCAGCTACAGCTACTGTTTCATGAATGTTAAGCTCATCAAGTGTTGACCTACTCATTGAGACAGAATTTTATATTACTAAATAAACGAAGACAAGCTATCCAACAACAGCACAAGAACTTACCTCAGCAGTGTGAAGTTGCAACTTCCTTGCATCAACAACAATAGGACTTGCTTTGAAGGATACACATGGAACAATTCCAAGAGATGCAGCTTCCTTCAAGTATATGCCATTATAAGATTGTTTCCAATTATTTTTATAATCGGAATTGTATTGAAAAGCACTGAAAAGTTCAGCTTCCAACTGACCTCAAGTAATGAAAAAGCACGAGGGTCATATTCACCAAACCCATCTATCAATGAACATAGGTTTGAAGGTCTTGATGTGTCAGCAGTTACACCAAGATTCTCAATAAGTCTATTCTTGAATGATGCATCGTAAGGGAGCTGCAAGCATCCCAAAACTTGAGATATAACTTCAACGGTAGGCATAATACCAGCTACAATCGTTTTGCGGTAGACCATTAAGGCCATTGATGCCCTATAGAAACAATGCAATAGACAAACACTGCTCAGAAGACTGATTTTAGCCTAGAAATCAAAATCATGACTTTTTAAAATAAACTAATTCAGGAACATATCAAACCATGTAAAGCTTTTCAGACGGACATAAAGATATATAAATAAAGAATAATTATAAAAAAAAAAGTTTCCTTTCAAGATACAGATTGGTAATGTTTTAATTCTTTTTCCCCTTTTTCATGCTTACTTATTGGGGTCAGAAAACTCTTTACAAATGCATAACTTTATAGACAAGTACAGAACCGACAGTCTCAAAATCAATAAAATAACTCTTGCCGCTACATTTTTTGAGAAAAATTCACACATACAAAATAAGTGAAGAGCATTTTCCAAGTACATTATGTTGCTTTCCTAGTTCCCCACAACAAAACATGTCTAATGATCATCACATAAGAGTCAAAGAATCAAATACCATTTGCTATCAACTTGTGGTCGATCACGCGACAAGACAGGTTCACCAAGTGAGCATGCCTTCTCAGATCTCCGCAAGCACATGCCTTCAAAAAGATCAAATGTAAGGAGAATAAAAATGTATGAAAGACAACACACTGCAATAATTCAGAATATGAAGATGTCAAAATGTTTGAAAACCCCAAACACCAACTGAAGTCAACTGTCCAATTCAAATTTCCTTGAAGCTCAAATAATAAAGCACAGAATCAAAGCATGCTATGTATAACTCATATGTAAAAAGAAATAACTGGACACAAGAAAAGTGGTTATGTAACAATGTTGGTATGTTCTAATTAAATTGTATTTATGTCTCTATCTTTGACCATAGTAATGATTTGGATTATGATTTTCAAGTTGTAAATTTTAGTGGAAACATCAGAATAGTATGAAGCAAAGCTTCTGATTATCTAGCTAGACTAGACATCCAACGAACCAAATGAAAAAAAGTTTCGAAGAGCATTTCCCTAGAGCTGTATTGAAGGTTATTATCAATCAAATTCACATGTTAGGCCATCTTGTTTTTATTTACTTATTACAATGGAGAATCATCTCGCAAATCATTGTGAGACAAAATGAACCTATATTCATTCAGATATCAGAGACAAACTGACAAAAAGAATTTTGTAACGAACTATACTGTAAACTCACCAATGATGCATCTACACATGACAAGGTTTGGAGCAACCCCATCCTTTTCGGCTTGAGAAAGGAGCATGTGGCCAGCTTCTAGATCATCCTTTCTGCAAACAGGGTGCACAATTAAACAGGTGCAAGTTTTGAGTTTTACTGCAGACAAGAATACACGCCAACATTGTCTTTAACACTGCATCAACTCTAGAAGACTCACTTTTCACTTGCCACTAGAATTATGGAGTATGTTATGCTGTTGGGATGTAATCCAAATCCTTTCATTTCGGATAGAACTTCCATAGCCTTCTGTAGTTGATCCCCATCACCTGAAGTGTGATTATTGGCATCTCAATCAAGTTTAGCTAATACAAACACATATTTTATATACACGCCTCAGATAATGTGACAGTTTAGGATTATAAAACAGAAGGGAATTGTTATCATACCAATTGACATTATTTTGAAAAGGAAATAAGGTAACATTTAGAGACTTACACAGGGCAGTGATCAAAGCATTGACAGTTGAAACAGTTTTCTCAATTTTAGTGGATTTGAGATATTCATAGAGCTCCAGTGCTTTCTGCCAGTTTTTTGCCTGAAACAAGGAATACCCAATTTATTAAATATTTAAGCATTCTTACCAGCATTAAAGAGTTTACACTAACAGGAAATAAGTTGGGCAGTTCAGCAGAGGATTTTTCTCTCCATCACCGGACTACACAATTACTTTGCTTATATGGAGCTCATTTAGAATTATAAGCCCCTATTTTCAGCATCAGGGAAAAGTAACATTTCAAACAGCATGTTACGTCTTTGGATTGAAAAAACAATAACAATTTTTTTTATAACAAAAAAATTTAGAACTAATAGGAAGCATTATTAAGAACAAATAAAAGCTTCCAGGAACTGTCGAGGGATAGAAGGTAGGAAAACCAACACATCTATAAGAATAATTTTTTTTTATTATTTAAAAAAATAGTACAAAACCCTGTCTGGTTTCTTAGTTTGGGTTTTTATTGGACAATTCTGAATTTCTATTCATCTTCATTTTGCATGCTTGGACCAATAACCTATATGAAAAAATACGTCTAATTTTCTTTTATAGGAAAAAAATAAATGTCTACCGCAGAATTGCCTATGTGAGACATACATTGCTACAGGCTCCCATCAATGAGCTGTATGATACAGTTCCAAGTTGTATTCCTTGATTTCTAGCTTCTTGTAGGATTTCAAAGGCAGCATCTAGTTTTCCAGCATGCCCAGC